TTCAAAATCCAGTCAGTTGCCACTTCCATTATTTGTAATTCTATTACCATTATAAATCCTACTTGACTTGATATCAGATTGCTAATATTTAATGCTATACTTGAGCTTGACTAGATACCAAGTCAAGCCAACTTGCTTGAAAATCAAGTAAGTGAATCCGTAGATACTTTGTATGTATTTTGTCAATTTTACTTATGGGCGGCGAAACCGATTGATGGAATTCTGACAGTCGCAATTACCTGAAGATGGTCAACCACATTCCGGCGTCCAGTACCAGAACACAAAAATGAATCTACTTTGAAAGATTTAAAGATTTGGAGTGTTTGGTTCTGCTATTGGCTCAAACATGGCGCAAGGGTATTCAATCCTTGTTTTTGGCGCCTTTCTAATGCCTATTGAGACTATAGCAGAACATAAAATGATGATGATGTAGAAATCCACTTTGGAAATAGTGTTTGGTTTTAATGGCTTAATACTACTAAAATACTATAGTAAGTTGAAGGTTTGAACTTTAGATACTTGCCTACCTCAAAAATAATTTAAAACAGAGTCCTTAAGAAATGTTGATATTTTTATCCTTTCCAACCGTTTATTGCGCGAAATTGTCCAACTCCAGAGAAAAGTTACTGAAGACGTTTTTTCTCTTCAGAATGATCTAAAAAACATTAAAACAACTTTGTCCAGAGCGAAATAAGAAACAGTTTTCTTAAATTGCAAAATATAGCTTAAACATCGTGATTCATGTTAAGCAGTTATGAAAAAAACTTGACGGTGAGTGTCCTAATATTCGTAGTCTTTATACTTCGATACTGTGTAGATATACACATACCTTTGTTCAGTATCTGATCCGTTACTCTACATTCATATCCATGTATCACTTCCTAATGAGCAACAGGCTATAGATCTACAGATATCAATCGCATCATTATAAAATCCAGGACATATACAGAGTGATTAGAAAATAGTGGAGTAAGATGGGGCATGTTACTCTCCCGTAAAAATTTCCGTCCTATGGCTTTATAGAAAAGCTTTGCCAACTTGATTAAAATTCCACGAGAAGATGCCCAAATCCAGTTGAAAGCCATACCTGCGTGAAAATGGCGCCGCGAACTACTTATGCTTACAACTTATACGTGTCGACCACAGGTTATACAAAATAGGTTTAAATTTTGAGGAACAGAGATTTGGTGACAACAGAATAGAAAAAATATAACGCATTTTATGAATGTTGCTGAAGACTGAAGAAGGTCACAAGCCTCAGATAAATTACATAAGAAAGGCATGCGCCACACATCACAGAATCACATATTATTGTTAAAGTTATTTACGGTCTACAGTAGTCGTTGTCAATAAGGATAATGATATATTCTGATAAATAGATGGTTTGAAATCATTATCTAGTGGTGTCCTGAAATTAATACAAAAATAATTCTCCTACGTAACAAAAGCATATATGCCACATGTATAACGGCAACCACAAACTTAGTCGCTCAGAGTCCGTATCAGGACAGCTATTAGTCGGAGGATAGTGTCCGTTCTTCACACTGTCATCTGAATTGAACCCAGAACCACATTTCTTTTCTGATCCTTAAATTTCCATTGTTTTCACCAACAAGTAATTTCCGTTTCGCGGCCATCTAGGAATTTAAATGACTTAATAGGTATCTTGACGTTAAAAGATGTGAAATATCACTGTTGTTCAAATACGCATTTAGCAATTATAGCGACCTGTAAAAAATGAACTTTGGACTTACTTACGGGTGCTTTTAGGTGGAAATGTGTTTTTTTATTCAAATGTGACTAGGTACATTATTGCCCCAAGCCCTTTAGTTACAAGGGGATTGATGGGTGGTGATCTTTCATCGTAACATTAATGACATGTTTAGCAATAAACAATTTCCTTTAGAAGAAACGTTCGTGGAGGATACGTTGATGAATGCCCTAACTATGTATTTGTTAAGTATTATGGTGATGGGAGAGAGATAGACGTCAAAAACCTATAATCTCAATTTTCGCCTTTAGAATTACCATACATTTGCTCCTAAATGTTAAACATTGGTAACGTATACCTAAAACATCTTGTTATCTCCATATAAATATGTCAAGCGTCAAAATAAATAAACTACATTTTTAGATTTTAATAAGCATGTCTTGGTCTAACCGTTTTACGGAAAATACAAGAAAGTACTCATGCTGGTAGTATGAAAAATAAAACATGACCGGTCGTAATGAGCAGGTGCTCTATTCGTATTACTCACGGAAATGCTAATTTTTATCACGAAAGTCATCAGAGGCGTCCCCTTGGTACCAGGAAATGTTACTAATACTAACATAGGTCAAGAAAACGTTACAGGTATCAAAAGCAGTATACTTACAGAGTACTTATACCTTGTCGGTACATGTATTACGTTACTTAAAAAATGCCGTCAAGTAAGCTGTCTCTGTGCTTCCCACGCAAGGCCGACATCATTTCATACAGAATTGTGTTCAGTACAAACTAGACCCTCTGAGAAAGAACACTCACCAACGCCGGCGGCACACCGCCGGGAGGAGGGTGCAAACGCAGCTGGTAGGATCGCGATCCGTCGGTTGAAGATATAGAATATACAGTCTTAAGAGCTAATGTACCTACGGTCAAATCAATGATGTGTGAACTATGTGTAGTAGGTACCTAGAATTACTAAGGTTGGGAGCGTATAAATATACTAAGATACAAAAATTTAGATATACCATCTACACCCCTCAACCACCCCTAACTTCAAATTTTTACCTTTAAAATGCTTTTCAAAAATGATCGGGATCTTCTGAAAAGTAAAAAAAACGAAGGTGGAGCGATTTATTTTTCCTTGTTCGCTTTTTTCAAAACTTTCAAAAGTTAAAAAGCTTTTTCGTCCTTAGCATAGTGGTAATAATTTCATCAAAATTCGAGCGGTACTGCTCGAGTTATAGGCGGTTATAGGATTAGAGGGCCGATAGACCGACACACGGATCGGCAGATAGATCGACCGATAGACGGACCGACGGACAAACCGACAGACAAACGGGAATGAGTGACATGGCCTAAGCTGAATGTTATATACTATTACCGAAATAACGTTCGTTGTGCCATTCTTCCTTAGGTGGCGCTTATAACGAGTAGGTGCGCACTGGTCTAGTCTACTTATTACACGAGTTGAGATTATACCGATTTTTGATGACAGTGTTATAGATTTCTTATAATATCCCCATGCGGGTTGTTTTTCACGTTCTTTTTTATATTTTTTTGTCTTTGACACGTGACCTAATGGGTGGTATTCTGTGTGTTACTGAGGAAAAAGTAAAATAAAATAAAAAACATTGGCCGGCCGATTTAACAACAAGTCGGAAAAGAGTTAATAATTTTGTTAGAAAAATTTCGAAAAACAAAAACTAATTTTAAAAATTATTTAAAAAAAAATTATTATTCAGTTAAAATTTGGAATATTGAGACGGCAGAGCGTCAATATCGTTTAAAGAAGTATAAAACAAGATATTTCAAATTGGAAAAAATTTTCTTGAACTTTTAGTTCGTATTATTAACAGCTAAATCAAAGCTTGTTTCTTGTACTCGTAGCTATTATTGCTTCTAAAGGAATTACTATGATTCTACTTTTCAACGGAAATCTGATAATGGAAAGTGCATGTGTACTATATACAGCATACGGCCATCTTATTGAAGAACATTATCCAATGGTAGAACTTACGTAATTGTTTTGCCGCCAAAGAACTAGTGTCAAAAAGCGGGGGTTTCGGCCCTGAAAATAATTCAGATTTCAAGTTGATCCCTTCTATGAGATTTTGGAATAACTTATGTTAGAACCTATGTACTTTAAGCTTTTATAAAAATTTTCCTTTTTTTTATTTAAATACTTAATCTTTATTTGAAAACCCAAAGTTCGCAATCCTGGCATTTTTGTTCAAAATTCATTTACTTTCGAATATTGAGCTTATTATTTTTATATGAGTGCATGATTACGTTCTACTTCAAATCTACAATAAAAATAAATGGGGCATAAAACTGTCATAAAAATTAAAGTTACTGCGGCAACACTTAAACCAAGTTACTATAATTGTGCATTAATTTGTGTCAGACTTTTATTTTATTGTCAACGCACTAATTTTTATATATGTTTTGGTGCTTAACGTGTTTTATTATAGATTTGAAGTATCAATAACTGTTGCCACCATGCGCTCATAGAAAAATGGAAAAATTGCGAAGTTTCGGGTTTTAAACAAGTATAAGAATAAAAAGAAAATCTTGATGAAGGTATAAAGTACATATTCTAAAATATTTAGATTTAAAAATTTTATAAATACCATCAACTTTTAGTTATTTTCAGAGTCGAAAACCCTGCTTATAGTGCTTATAGACCTTGATCTGTTATACTTTATGGACCCAAACGGCTTGATGGATTTGTATTGTACGTTTGAGGTGTCGTTAAAATTTCCATCATAACACAGTTAAAAATTTATTGTTTCCAGGTACAGCAGTCGGATTTCTTGCATTTGTAAAAAAATAAATTTATGGGGGCAAAATGTTGACGTACGTGACCTCATTGGGCTTTCTGGCAAAGCTTGGTCATCCCTCATAACAGAATGTGTGCTTGGACGCCTCTTGTTACTTGAGGTGCGCTACTGTGTCTCAGAGAGACAGACTGTACCAATTTTTTGTGTCTCCTGACGGATTTCGCAGATCTCTCTGTTTGCAACCATTAAATATTTTGTTACAAATCATGGACAAGAACAAGCGCACTTCCACCAGTCATAAAACAAAGACTTACAGGCGTGTTGCATGTCATTTCATTCTTGAGTCAGATGTCATGCTGTCTAGAAATCAATGTTCTTTGCTGTGTCTTATGATCCTACGCATAAACTGCGCTATAAGACGCCGTTAACAAAGAAATTAGGATGGGATGGGAGGTGATTAGGGAGGGGGTTAGGTTGGATTTATGAATCATATACTTTGTTATTAAACTTTAATCCTTCTGGTTCAACAGTTACATGTGTGTAATATAAGTATCTTTTAATTTTTTTTTGCTGGAAAATATTTCAATACATGAGGGTATTCTGACAGAAAGAGCTCGGATGCGCAGAATTGAGAACACGTTCTAAATGCTGAGAGAAAAAGTGCGCATTAATGATAATGGTCATTCAAATAATTTATTTTACAATAAATCTGATGAAAAATTTGATGATGACATACGGGCTTGAAAGAGACTCATTACAAGTCTTCTCTCCGGTTCAACTGCAGACATCGATATGGCACTCAGAACGCCTGCAGGGAAAGTGTTGTCATGCGCAAGGCTGTGGATAGGATTTATCGTGAAGGAACTGGTAATACAATTAGAGTTTCGCAAAGTACGCAATATTCATTTATTTATTTAAAATATAATATTTTTAGATGAATCCTTAACTCTACGCTGCTGAGAGAAAAAAAGAACACCAATAAAAATACAGGAAATGCACGTAACTGCATCGCGTTGCTTGCAGACGTTGGTCGCGGTCTGTATAACATATTGCATGATTACTTTTTACAGCAAGCCAGAGCTTTGTCTACCAGCAGCTTGAAAGTGGTTGTATGGTAATATTCTTCACCTGGGTAGACGATCGTGTTCGGAAAGTGTTTCTGTAAATATAATAAAAGCGTTTCACTGAAATATTGAGACCTTTTGCGAGTCCTCCAGAAGTATATGACATCTAGTCGAAATAAGTCGTGGTCACGTGACGTCACATACTTCGGATGTGGGCAAAATATAACCTCACATATCGTGTAATTCTGTGGTGTTTCGTGTTGGGGTCAGTCATTTTGTATGTGTATAAATTTGAGTGGACTGGAATTTCTGCGTTGCTGTCGCACTTCACAACATCACAGCACGACGGCATTCTAATAGCCCAAAGTTTGAATCAGTAACTTTGAAATACTAACAATAATCTCGAATAACGCGAAAATAATTCAACAAACATCCATAAATACTAAATTTTACATGACAACGGTAAAGTAATTCTCGCCAACTCAATTTTATAGGTTATGTGGTACCTCGCATGCACTTTGAGCTGCCAAGTCTGAACATAACCTATGCATTGCTAGCAAGTGTCCTGTAAGCATACACGGTGTCCCATCTTAATCTCCTCACCTAAATATTTCGAAAACTGCACATTCCAGAAAAAAAGTTTCAAACACCTTGACAAAGAAATTGTTTACGAGCCTCAAGGTCAAATGAAAATTTTCAAATAAAATATCCCCCTTTTTACATCGGAATTGAAAAGAGGAGCACATTTTACGCCCGAAAATTACTTTGGACATGTATTTATTATCTTTAAGGCCATTTCAGGGTCAAATCAAAACAACGAACACAATTTGTTCTAGCAAAAATTTTCAACGGCGAAAACGTTATTCTCCCTCGAAACCCTAAAACTTTTGTTGGAAATAAAATTTAGGTGGGGAGATTAAAATGGGAGACCTTGTATATGTAAATCTGCGGCGATCGATTACATATTACTTGAAATGTTGACATTCAAGTATACCAACTATAAGATCTCTTTTTTAGATATTTGAAGTTTTATAATACCAATCCGTGTTAACATACGTACAATATCATATCATTAAAATCGAAAATAGGGACTGTTCACTTATGTCCGGTTCATAAAAACTGAAGGAATCCTTGGCTGATATTATGAAACAAATGACTATCTGATAATTTCAATGCATACTTCTGTTTTTTTTTAATAACTAAGGTTTGGCAATGTCAATGCATGATATACATTTTTGGAATTTCGGGAAAATTAGGATTCTCTCGTATCCGGAAATACTCGGAATTGCGAAACTTTCTTCATGACATTTTCTTAGTTACCTAGATGCGCATTTAAACAACTTCGTATCTCTTACCATTTCCGATATACCAACGTTGAGAGTCGAATTTGAAACACTCGGTGTTATATTAATAGGTTTGAACTGTAGGGTTTGTTGCCTATTCGAAGGTATATTTTCAACTACTTACATGATTAACTGAGTCCGGAAACTTCTGGGTTTCCAAACAGAACGCAAAATGCTTCTTTATAAATCCATTTTTGCCCCTCAAGCTATCGCCTTCAGGCAAAAAGTTGCTAGTGTAAAACTGAACTCCTGGCTGGTTACTGTATACCTCCAGAGCTCTACCTGTTGCAGAGTGAGTAACTCTTGCCACAAATGTCTCTTCTTGCTTTGATCCTTTGGTGACACAGAAGTTGTGGTCGAATCCTGCAGTGTTTGGAACTTTGTGAATGATGTCACCAAGGGTTTTGGGAACCCTTAGATCAAACGGTGTACCGCATACCATAGGTAGATTGCCTAAAAAAGTAAAAAAGTTAGCAACATACATGTATAACAAAACTCATAGTCCCCACCCATTTGATAACACTATACACGTCTTTCCTGTCCTACCGAAAGTATCGACCATCTGACAACGAAGCATAACCACTTCACTTAACCATGCCATAAGCACCAACCATGATACTGTAACTTAGCGCTACCAGACGTACGATAATTATCGTTTTTGTATGATAATTTCAAATACAGTACCACGTTCACTTACGACAATAGCTAAATGTATAATAAATTTTCGGCATGAACTTTTTTACTCTCACATGTCGACATGTGTTTAATGAACCCCATCTCCCATCACTCTCAATCCAACCTGCATATGAATAAACTCGATTTTTTCGTTCATGTTCACTCATCTCTACCCCTCCTCTACAATTAATTGCATATTCTTTAAATATTATTACGTCTGACCTCCACCCCCACACTTCAATTGTAGCCAACATGCTCCTTAAGCAAGGACGCGCACCGGCCCATCCTCTAACATAGACATATCAATGAACACGAATCCTGGGAGTACCACCCCGCCCCTTCTAAACGGATAAGTCCATGCTACGCCAATGTGCACGCCAGTATATGATAATTTACCTGTGCTTGTACAGTTAGTTCTCGCGATGTCTTTAGCAACTCTGCTATAACTCGAGATCGAAAACGCTAGCGATGCGTTCATACGCACGCGGGCTCGGTGTATGAAGACCCGCGACTGCCACACGAGAAGCATTTGTAAAGTTTTCAGGGCTTATTTACAGGAGAATCAATTATTTATGGAATATGTACCAATAGGTGTATATAAATATACTTATAATATAACATCAAAATTGAGATATACCCTGCTCTATCACCTACAATCCTCAACCCTCAATTTTTAATCTTAAATTTTTTTCCCTGAAAATAACTAGGAACCTCTTTCCCAATTATCTACAGACCAAGAAATATCAGACTGACAGACCGATAGAAATGAGTGACATGTTGTTTTGTGATGTGCATGTCATGTAGCTTCCAAATAACGTAATAACCCATTTTCGATTTTTTTCGCGATTACAATACTTTCTCGCCAGTAGGCGTGATAAGTTAAAATGTAGAAGAGGGTTTCGCTAGTATCCGTAGCTTATTATTGTTTTCAAAATCATATCTAGTAACGCACACACTCGGCGTTTCATCATTGACCTCGATTTGTAATCAAGGTCATAGTTGTGGCGTCAAGGTCATTAGAAATCAGGGTCAGGTTTGCGGAACCGCATGGTTTTTACGTAAAAAATCTACATAATGTGTACAAATAGTTCATTCCGCGCCTGCTACAAGTGAGCATTAAGTGAACGACAGCTACTTCCTAGTTGACTGCTTGTAGGAAAACCTACATAATGTCATAAAAACCGACTTAATGTCAAAAAAGAAACGACATAATGTCATTTTCCAAGTTACGTGATACTCCTGCCGAAGTCTGGGAGTCAACGTCATAATACTGACGTCATCGGAGCCAATGGCATTAGGAGTCGATATTAAAGTGCCTGAGAATGAACACCCGGCATCTGCAGTAGTATTTGTCACCATGTACAATATGCCGTACTTTTAATCTTACCTGTAGGAATTCCATCAACAGCTTCTGTTATCTTATCAGCATTTAAAGAAACAACATGCTTATACAACTCATTTGCACCTTTATCATCTCCAGCTAGGTTAAAGTAGGAATGGTTGGTCAAATTGATAGGAGTAGGCTTTGACGTTGTAGCTTTATACTCAATCTTAAACTCGTTCTCGTTGGTTAACTCAAACGTCACATGGGTCAATACGTCTCCTGGATACCCCTCTTCCATGTCTTTAGAAAGGTAGCTCAAGGTAAGTTTTGAGCCATCGACATGGGGTTCCCAAAGAACCTTGTCAAAACCTTTGGTTCCTCCGTGAATGTGGTTTGGGCCGTTGTTAGCAGCTAGTTTGTATTCAACTCCTTCAACTGTCATTTTTGCGTTGGCAATGCGGTTTGCCACTCTTCCGACAGTTGCTCCCATGAACCTGTTGTCAGGCTGGAGATACTCTTCGAATGTGTTGAAGCCTAACACTATGTCATCTATGTGCCCTGTAAAAGGAATATAACATACAATTGAAAATGAAATTGATTCACACGAGTTTCAACTGCATCTATCATAGCTGCTATAATGGTTGATCATAGATGTTTGAATATACTTGTCATAAATAGGAGTGACGTCACTGATGCTGATTAGTGTATTATACAAGAACAGGAGGGTGAACTCATCGAGCGGGGATAAAGCCAAAAGTGTCAAGAGCAATTGCGTCAGAATTGAACATAAAACGTACACAAATCCAGTTTTGATAGTTCAGATGAGTTGCTAGCAGAAATGTTGCTTTGAACAAAGGATAGTCAATGACAAGTGAGAAAGGACCATTAAGTACATTAGGTAAATGGATTTTCACGTGCTTGGGTATACAAAATGCGCAGAAGCTTTACATTTCCGAGCGCCACGCCTTCCTTACCGACAATATTGCCTTGATACGAATACGTGCATTGCCTTAGGCAGTTTACCCTCCTAATTGCAGTCTTCGAGGTATTAAAGTTCTTCCGTTTCGAGTAACGTTCAACTCGTGTTTCTTGACTAAGATCATTGTCAGATAAAATAAAACATTATTGTCACCTTTGTTTTACGGGTTTTTAACATTAAACCATCGATTAACCTCTTCCTTCAGAGGATACCCGGAGCAACTGGAAGTCGCTATTAAACGCCAAAATTGAACGTTGCCAGATAATATCTCCTTACCTGAGGAGTCAGGAACCTTCATTGAGGTAATGTATCCCCCATACGTCATCACCTGTACACTCATCCCATTTTGATTTTTCCAAGTGAATCTTCTGACCTTTTTTACACTCCCATAGCTGTCTTTGAATTCACCAAAAACGTCCTCTGTCAGAGACACTTTCTCAGAAGGTTTCTTACAACACATCTCAGCCATGACTGGTTTGAAAATATTTTGCTGTGCTTTGCAGTCATTCAATAGATAAGAACAAAGTATTATCAGCAATTATGAATACCTTTATTGTTCATTACATAATACACTTAGGTTATTAATTTATCAGACAGTAAGATTAAGCAGTGAAAAATTTAAAAACTACAGAGTGGTGATACTCCTCTCCAGGATAGACGATTACGTTCGGAAATCCTTTCTGGAATGATAAAACAAAATTAATTGTAAAAAAAAGGAAGAGAATACTAGTTTTTTCCATGTTTAGAAAAAGTTTTAGGTAAATTTTCGAAAAAACATTTTATATATTATAAGTTTACGAAGTAAGTAATCAGATATATGTTATGGTTATGGGTTTTAAGGGCTGTCGGGTCTGAGTTTGTTCTTGTTAGGCCATTTGAAGGGCCTTTCGAGGTCATATCAAGGTCAACTTAAGGACATGCCGGGAAATCAAATCTACTAGACCTGCACGTAGGTTTTTTGGGTCGCTGAGTCCGAATATGAGGTCAGTTTGTTAGTGTCAGGTCATTCGTAGGGCGGATTGAGGTCATTTGATTATGCTTCCTTAGCCCGCCTTAGACCATCTACCTCCCATTCTTACGCCTTATACGGACAAATTAACTTGGGCTCATCAACCTCAAAAACCTACGTACAGGTCCAGTAGATTTGATTTCCTGGCATTTTATCAGATTGATCTTGCAATGACCTTGAAATCTCGAAACGTTCTTCAAATGACCTGATACAGACGTGCCAGTTACCTTATTTACTTCGTAATCTTACAATATACTAAATATACTAAGTGACATATAAATCCGAACACCCAGTTTAAATGGTTTTATTTTAATAAAATTTTGTATAAGTACTTAATGAAGCATAATAAGTAAATGATAAAAATTTTAAAATGATTGCACTGCTGTAAAGCCCTTTGACCTTTAATAATGTGTGGATGCACCCTGATGTGCTACGCATTCTAAAACGCGCCTAGGCATGCTTCTGATCAGATGGTCAATGTCCTCCTGTGGTATCTCATTCCAGGCAACCACCAACTCCTCTCGAAGTGCTTCTAGAGTCTGAGGAGGACGTTGCAAATTGAGCAATCTTCTACCCATCATATCCCACACGTGCTCAATTGGGGATAAGTCGGGAGATCTTGGTGGCCATGGTAACAATGTGACATCATTATGTTGAAAGAAGTCTATTGTGACTCTTGCAACATGTGGTCGGGCATTATCTTGTTGGAAAGTTGGATCTGCCGGGGTCTCAAGATAGGGTAAAAGATGGGGTTCTAGAACTTCGTGGATATAACGCTGCGCGTTCATGTTACCTCTGATGAAGATTAAAGGTGACCTGGAACCATAAGCTATATCACCCCAAACCATAACTCCAACAGTGTGATGAACACGTCTTTCAACAAAAAACTGTGGATTCCTCCTTTCACCACGTCGCCTTCTAACCCTGGCACGACCATCGTGCATGCGTAAACAAAATCGAGACTCGTCACTAAAGACAATACTGTTCCATTCCTGATCCCAGAGTGACCGTTGTCTGCACCACTCAAGGCGATTACGTCGGTGTTCTCGAGTTAAAGGGAGGACCCAGTGTGGCCGGTATGAAAACAAGCCAAAACTTCTCATTCGTCGGTAAACACTTCGCATGCCAATAGGTCTTCCGTGTTCTGCAAACCATTCATTTGCAATGGACCTGGTAGTGGAGAAACGGTCCCTTAATGCCAATAATCTTAGGCGGCGATCTTCACGGTCTGTTGTTCTACGGCGGCGTCCAGTGCCCTTTGCTCTTTGCGTACGGCCTTCTCGAAACCATGCCTGACAATACCTAATCACAGTGTCTACACTTCTTTGCACTCTAACTGCAATTGCCCGAAAAGAAAGTCCAGCTTCCCGAAGTCCCACTATACGGCCCCTATCAAACTCACTAAGTTGAAGAACCAAAATCCGCCAACGTTGATTCTTTGCTGCGGCTGAAATAATCATTTTTAGAGAGTTAGTGAATTAAAAAAAAAGCAGTACAAAAACCGGAATGTCCAACTGATAAGGCTGAAAATTTTTTCACTTGTTATTTACAGTAAGATAAATACATTCACCAACTTTTATTAAAATAAAACCATTTAAACTGGGTGTTCGGATTTATATGTCACTTAGTATACCTTTCCCGAAATCGCACCTAAAACTGACTTTGAACTCACCTTCACCGTTGTCAGCTGGGAGTTCCTATAAGTGGCGTTAGTGGTCATGTCATTTAGTTATTGTATATTAGTACATGAAAAAAGCCTTGGATTTTCTTATTTTGATCAAAATTGTATTAGGACGAAAACCGCCATTATGAGTCCTTCTTCGTTACGTAGTAACACATTTTGTGTCAAATGTGAGGGATTTTACACCTTTTATTACTGTTACAAAATGAATAATTATGTATTTGTTATAGTCCATAACTTTTGCCTTACTAATTATTTGTCATGCCCAGCAAATGTGCAATCTGTTAACAGCCATTTATTCAATAATGATTATTTTAATAGTATATTTTGTAATAGGCGCAGTAAAATTTAACACCAGTATTTATAGTTACCATATGTGACGTGTTTGGATTTTAATGCTTTGTGTTTTTTATTGAAGTAAAAATAATAAGGTAAAATTACTGTAGTTTGATCAATCAAATCAAATCAAATTTTCACCAGTAATAAGGATAAAATTGCTTCAAGATCAACTAAGCCTAAAATCACTTCTGGATCTAGTAAGGTAAGGTTATGACTTCGATTCAGACACTTAGCGACCTCAAAATTTTACTTTTCAAAGGTTTCATAACAGTTACTGCTATTGCTAAAGATCGGGAGGACTTTTGAATAGCAAAGCACCTTTTCAAATCTCAGTATGGGCCCACGCAAGTTTATTTTTCTGATCTCTAGTAACTTTTCTTTAAAGCTTCTGAGTTAAAAGCGATTGAATGTCAGAAAAACCCCATAAAGGGGCATTTTCAATGCTTGTTTTAACTACTTTAATGATTAGATTAGGATTAAAGCTCAAATCTTCCCCTATAAGAAACGGGAGAGTATTTAAGACTTAGTTTATTTTGAAGCAATTTTTAACCTTCTATCAAGAGGCGAACTTTTGATTTTCGCAGACTGTACGTCCTCCCCGGAGGTACCTCGGCAATGGATCGTCAGCCATCCCAAACTATTGAACAAGGTTGTCACACCCAGCGGAGTTTCCCTTATATTAGCCATAAAACGCCAACGCTTCGCACAATGAATTCTTGTTACAGCTGGGAAGTTGCAAGCAAGTTTTAGATTTCCTATCTTATTTAATCTTACCTGATTTATTGAGTCTGGATATACTTGGGTCTCAAAACAAAATGCTCCATGCTTTACTAGTTTCACTCCACCCTTTCCTTTAACGTTGGTACTCTCGTCAGGCATAAAGTTTCCCGTATAAAACTGCACCCCCGGCTGGTTACTATAAATCTGGAAATAATTCCGAACCCGTATCGTAGATATGCATAGGCATAGTATGGCAAAGGAATAGTTATATCGTATGGCTCTATGGAATTTGAGCACAGAATTCGAATATGAAGAAACATGTTTTTCCAGATTGCATATGGCACGAATTTTTACATACCATAGTCCCCATTTACTCAAAACGTTGCAATCTAGAAAATTCTTGCCTTAATGTACCGACCACCTGGCAACGTTGCAACGTCTAACCTCGTCACTCGCAGATGCGGCACCACGATAGCCTCCACAGACACAAGGTATATCCACAGATTTGTGAGTTGAAACTATTTTTTATCGTAAGTTTTAAGGACCAATGTGTAGGGGAATCTATGATGTGTGAAATGTGTCTAATACGTGTAGTTACGTTGCATTACCGGGGCTGGATGCGTATAGATATAATAACGCCAAAAAATTGAGATAAACCACTACCCACTACCTACTATCTACACCCTCAATGTTTAAACCCTAAAAAACATTTTGTGAAAATGATCGGGGGCCTCTGTAACGTCAAAAACGAAGTTTGTGCGATTATTTTGCTCCTAGCTCCACTGTCACTGAACTTATTTTCAAACTACAAACCTTGTGTAAAAAATGCATAATAATAATAATAAGCGGTACTTTCCAAGTTATACACTACTGCCCAAGGATTAGTGGATAGACAGACAAATGGACGGAATTGAGTGACATGGTTTTTCGTAATGTTAATGTCATAAAACATCCAGAAAATATAATATCTCATTTTATAATTTTTCGTGATTGCAATAGTTCCTTGCCAGTGCCGTGGGAAGTAAAAATTTGCCAAAGCTTTCTTGTTAGTACCAGCATACCGTTGATATATTCATAATCTATGCACCGGATTTATCCAGGGATCGAGATCTCTTCGAAATTTAAGCTTTTTGAACTGTTGCCATTCCCATTTATATTCCCCGTGCGTATAAGTCATAGTCATACGTATTTTTTCATACATCGATATCACCTCCAAATTTAAAACAGGTGGACAGGTCAGCGCTCATTGATGCGTTCGATATCGATCGCGTGGTCCGCCGTGACCAGCTCAAGTACAGAGTTGCAATCAGGCATTCGCGTTCAATATTGCAAAAATCCAATGAAACCTCTTTAATAATCCTCCATGTTTGTCTGGCCGCTAAATGGAACCACACATGCTTGAAGTACTACTTGCTGACGACTTTTCGGTCACCAGGGTGGCCTTATAGGAGTACAATTGACATTTCTTGAAAATGCCACACATGTATTGACCAAAACGATGTAGTTAGCCAATAGTATGTTAAACATATGTGGTTTCATTTAGCAACCAGACAAATATGAAGGATTATCAGCATGAATGTCACAGGATAAGTTTCAGGTGTTACGTAAACCTATTTTTGTTACACATGTGTAGTAACTGCATTTTCCTTGTTAAACTGACAAACTTATGCTTTTCAGTCGTAATCATATGAATATTCCACTAAGTAATAGTAACTGTCGGTATAATTCAATCCTCGCAAGACGGTACTGAATACGGTCCTGTCCAATTACTTAGCTTTCGAGTAATAGGAACTCAGTACATGGCTGTATCTTACATCCACTGTATGTTGGATTTGGGTGGGGCTTAGGTAACTATTTAAGCACTGAATTCTTGAATGCCCTTTAAAAATGGCGTCAAGCAGGTTGATTGTACATCCCAAGCAATTCTGGACAAATGAAATTTGTATATGAATCATGTGTAGTATCTGAGTCAACTTTTATATGATGTGGCATGTTTATTGTTTTGCCAGCTATCTAAATCCTTGTATCCTGGCAATAGAATATCAGTGAAAAGAGCATTGTTCATTTGGCAAAAATTGATATTATTGGCATGATCAATCTAAGTCAAGTTTCTTACGTTCTAGTATGTTTACTGTTGGTCGGCTATGGAAAATCTTACAGCTGGCCATATAATATAATGAACATGATCGGAGAAAAAGTATTGACAAGAATAACTATAGCCCTAATGCTGTCACCATGTCTGATTATGTATGGATATTCAATAATTTATATTGCCCTGGTAGTAGCAATTGTTACATCACCGCAGCTGCATCGTTGACATCTTCTCAACTGTTCACATAAAAATTCGTCGCCTTGATCTTTAGGGCACATATAGATACAGGGTTATATGGTATATGTGTGGAACTAGAAGCTTATAAATATTCTGCCCTCAAAAAACTGTGATACACCCTCCCCCAACCCTTGCATCCCCCACCACCAATTGTTCATCTCTACAAAATGTTTTCGCAAATGGTAAAGATCCCCTGAAGCGTCAAAAAACGAAGTTTGGGCGATTTGTATTTTGTTCGTTTTCGGCCTTATCCTCCACCGCCACTGGATCGATTTTCAAAAACTATAAGGCTTCTTCGTTCATAGCATAGTAGTAATCATGTATGAAAATTTCATCGGAATCCGAGATGTACTTTCCAAGTTATAGATGGGCCAAGAATTAGCGGACAGACCGTCAGAGAGACAGATACCAGCAGAAATGAGTGACATATCTCATTTTCGAAGTTTTTCACGATTACAATACTTCTGCCAGTGGCGTTAGAAGTAAAATGAAAGTGTTGCTACTGAGGTCAGACTAAAACCAAATTACAATTATTGTGCATTAATTGGTTTCAACCTTTCGTTTTTATTGTAAGCGCAGTGGAGCAACATTTCTTTTATATTTGTATGATTTGTGATTTGTGGTGTTTTATTATAGATTTGAAGTGTTGAAGCGATAATAGAAAAATGGAAACGTTAAGTATTCGCCAGTAGGCGTGCCAAGTGAAAATAAATCTTTTATTTGATCTGTTTTTCTAATAATTACCTCCATGACTCTCCCACTATCTGGATGATAAGCTGAAGCTACAAAAACTAGTCCCTGTTTTGAAGGTCTTGTGATACAGAAATTATGGTCGAATCCTGGAGAATTTGGTACCTTGTTGATAACATCTCCAAGAACTTTTGGTACTCTCAAATCGAATACTGTACCGTTAACGTTAGGTAGGTTGCCTGGAAAAAATAGAGTTTAAATAGGTTTGATAGCATAGTATCAGATTTTAAATTAGCCTTGTATGTAATAGCCCCACGGTACCCCATGGGTGTTTAGGCCTTAGGTCTTCGTGGTAGTTGGAGTATAAAGAAAATATATCTTTCTTGTCATGCTAAGTATTTGGATTCTGCTTCACAGATCTCTTCTCTCCAAACTCCGTCAGCTCTAAGGTCTTCATATACGACATACTTGACTAGGAAGGGAAATTAATGGATTTTCCATATTCTCATAAGGGGTACTTTGACTCGCACTGGCCTATGATTATCCCAACCAGAAGATTTAGGAACTCTGAATGTCCACAGTTTTCACCGCTTCTTGGCATGTTGTATCAGTCGATTCCCAATATCGGTTCTGAGTCCAACGTAAGGTCTTAGCTTCCAACCTTTTAGTCTCTTGAATTACAAAAAGTAGTACGTCCTAATTACCTGTTGGTATAGATGTGTCATCAACTTCAGTGTACCTATCAGCATTGATGGTAATGACATGTTTGTAAGCCTCAGTTGGTCCAGTGTGGTGTCCAGCCAGGTTGAAGTAAGAATGGTTGGTCAAATTGACAGGAGTTGCTTTGGTGCAAATGGCTTTATAATCAATACTAAACTCATTTTCAGCTGTAAGTTCAAAAGTTACGTTTACTAGCAGGCCTCCTGGGTAGCCTTCTTCACCATCCGCTGAATAATAGCTTAGGATCACCTTGTTGCATTTCGAGTGATGTTCCCAAACAACCTTTCAAAAAAAAGTTACCTCTTAAACCAATGAGTGAATCTAGAGAAAATTGCAAACTATGTCCAAAAAATGTGTACTCATCTTAGAAAATTTATATTTTTAATATTTCACTCACTCATATATATAGTTTTATCTACGAAATAATATTCAGGGTGTTCAAAAAGTATGGCTAGACCAAAATATCTAGAGAAATACGTTTTCTAGGAAAATATGTTCTAGAACGTGACCTTGACCATGGCCTTTATGGAGATTTGAGGGTATCCATAAAGTACGGAAATGGCAAAATATCTCGAAAAATACGCATGATAAATAAAAATGTTGAATAATAAAGTTATAAGGTTGACTATGACGTTCAAGCTCGTTTGAAGGTCAAGACAGTTTTCTTAAATGTAAACCCGACACCAAAAATAAAAAACAAGAACCTTTATGTTCAAGCATGTCCATGACCTTGACTATCACTATCAATGTCATTTGAAAATTGAGTTAATTTTCAACGGGAAACATCTATTTCTAATTCATGAAATACAAATTGCGGATACTTTTCATTTTAAGTATATTCTTGCCAATGGACCTGACCATGGCCTTCAAATTTATTTTAAGATCAAATGTTCAAGTAAACCCCTTATTTTTTGTTGTGGGTATAGAAAACTAAATATGGAAACGAATTAATTTATTTTTGCATCCATATATTATAAAAAATGTAAATTACTAAAGTAACTATTGCATTACTTTTATTCTAGCATTTCTTTTTCCGAAAGCAATCTTCTTCACACTAATGCAAAACGAGTGACCTATACTTTATACTATTTCCACGCGAACGGAGCCGCGGGCATAGTCTAGTTCTCAAAAAATCCTGATTACTTTGCTTGTAGACATTACAAAAACAGCTGGTGCCATAGAAAATTAACGATTTCGGGAGTTAATTTCACATTCATTATGATTACCCTATACTTATGGTCCAGAATTGAATACAAATGAGCTACCATTGCTACATACCTTATCAAATCCTCTAATCCCACCATGTAGATGGTTCGGTCCATTGTTAACAGCCAAACTATACTGTTTCCCTTCAACCCTCATTTTTCCTTTGGCGATTCGGTTTGCAACCCTTCCCACAGTTGCCCCATAGTACGTATTCTCAGGCCTCAAGTATCTGAAAACAAATATTTTATACTTCATACACCAATGATGGGAAAGTATTGTATTGTAATCGGGAAAAAGCTCGAAAATATATTATGTTTTTTGATGTTATATGACATGTACATCAAGAAAAACTATCTCACTCATTCCCATCAATCTGTCTGTCCGTCCGCTATACCTTCACCCTTCTATAACTTCGAAGGTACCGGTCGGATTTTGATGCATTTTTCACGCAAGGTTACCACTATGGTAAGGACGAAAAAGCTTCATAGTTTTCAAAAATCTAACACACACACACATACCACAGTGGTGGTGAAGCTAACAACAACAAAAAATGAAACAAATAAAAACGCTCAAACTTCGTTTTCTTTTTTGGCGATCCAGAGGCTTCTGACCATTTTCAGAATTTTTAGGGGTTTAAAATTGGGGGTCCAGGCAAGTATACCTCGTTTGTGGGCGATGGTATACTTATATGCCCCCAGTTGCGGCAATTCTCGTGTCGATAATACGTACGTGCGCCTGCAGGAATTTTTCTCTTGATGCTATTTTTTTATTTTAAGACACAATTGAGGAACATTCATGGGCCACACATACAGTAATAGTTATTCACATATCTAGGGTAGCTTTTCTTAACCTTTTTCAGTTATGGACGAGATCGAGTACATTTTTCATGGATCTCCTTATAAAACGTTAATAAACTTGGAAGCTAAAAGCAATCCCTCCATCTGTCCTTAATCGTAGAAAGCACTATATATAAAGAGGTACGAGGGGTACTCGAAAAGAAATCTACCGAGCCATGAAACTAAAGGCGTACGATTTTTTTGATAATTTTATGTTTCAATATAATCCCCTCCCTACCTCAGAGCCCTCACGCCATATCTCTCTCCAGTGCAGTCGTCGACGGCTGCAATTAGGATATCATCTGAGTCAAAACGGAGTCCTCGAAGATTTTGTTTAGTAATCTAAACAGATAACAGTCAGATGGAGTCAAGCTCAGACTATAGGGAGGATGGTCTATCTCAAGGAAGCTGCATTCCTGCACAATTGATCTAATTTTGGCAGCCTTATGCGCGGTCGCATCTTCATGCGGAAGAAACACTTTTCGATTGGAAAAATTCGGTTCTTTCCTGGTTGATTTACGTAATTTTTGATTGTATTCGCATAGACGTCCGCATTTATTGTTGTCCTTTTTGGCAAATATTCAATGAAAACGCTGCCCCCGATGTTCCAAACACTGTTGCTGCCAATTTTCCAGCAGAAGGTTGCGTCCGTGGACTTTTTATGAACTCCCTGCTTAGATTCTGTTGTCTCAGGATTCCAATGATTCAACCAAGTCTCGTCGCTCGTTAAAATTGTGCCAACAAGTCAGAATCGTTGATCAAAGTTTCCAAATGACTTACTGTTTCCAGCCTGCGCAATTTTTGTTCAGATGTCAACAGCTGTGAAACCCACCTGGTTCACACCTTACTCGTGTTATAATATGTCGTGGTTATTACGCGATATATTATATGCCATACTAATGGTAGAGAACTTCACACGATGATCTATGGATTCTCGACCCCAAACTGTTTCGAACAAAATTTTATTGTGTAATATGATGGTACGGTAATGATTCTCTCGAGAAGTGTTTTCTGCTGATGGCCATTTTTTGTCAGAAACTTTATGACATTGCGGTACTCTAATTGTAAGTTATCCTCACAATTCACTTTATAGATTAGCTAATATCAAAATCAAGTCAAATTTTGCCACTATTTAACATGTTATCCTTGTTCGTTTCAATTGTCTTTTCATGGCTAGGTAGATTTCTTTTTTATTGTCTCTTGTGGGAACAATAAGGCTGTTGGTACGTACCCATCCAAATTATCAAATCCAATCACCACATCTTCAACTTTTCCATTTTTGTCCGGAACTTTGATTGACGTTATGCAGTGGCGGCTCGTGCCAATTCAGTGAGGTAGTGCCAGAATAGAAGCCATAATTTTGAATCGATTCAAAATTGTAAAGAATAACTTATAACTTACCCCTGATAGTTAGTGGTCAAAGTTCTTGAGGTTCAATAAATCTATATGTCCAAAAAAAAATCAAAAATAAAACTATTTACACACGCGCACCAAATTATAAAACAAGTGTGGAGAAGTACCTATAACTTCAAAGTTTTCTATACATGAAGTCCATTCTTCTTTCTTTTTTGGTAGCAAAGTTTTCGATTACCTTATTATTAAAATTTTCAATGCCACTAACAAAATGTTTTTCTGCAGACAGCATTCCTAAAGCACTAAGCCTTTCTTCCTTCATTGTGTTTCTGAGGAAAGTTTTAATCCGTTTCAGCATTGAAAAAGAGCGTTCTGCTTCAGATGTTGACATCGGTATAGTGATTAAAATACTTAAGAGCTTAAGAGTTTCTTGAAACGTACAATTTAATCCTTCCTCGTTCAATAAAATGGATAGTGGAACAGCTCCAGAAGTAGTACTCAATTCTTCTCTCTGATATAATACTTGTAACTCAGTTTTAAGCCTGTTTTTGTCTAAAAATGAAAATTGTGTGCATGTGTCATTTAAATGTGCTTCAGGAAACTGATGTTTATAAACAGAAAACTTTTCAGACACAAATAAATTAGAAGCAACTAATGCCCAGAAAAGTTAAATCTTGTTCTTATTTGCGATAATACTGCATCGCATATTTCTAACGCTTCCCGTTTTTTGCTGCCTTCTTCAACTTGCCTTTTTTTTCTTGCCGGTTCATCAGTTTCTCTCTGCACTCGTTCAATCTCGTCAATAATGCTATCCATTTGTTCTCGTATAGTTTGAATTGCTGCTTCAAAATTCTCTAAATCATTTTTGACCTTAACAGAATCGGTGCATACTTTTTGTAATTGGTTAAAGACAATTTCAACATGTGGCATTATTTTATGGAATATACTTAGCCAAAATACAAAATTTGTATCTTGCAGCTTTAATTTGTACCCACCGGCTTGATTAATCGACGAAGAATCGCGTGAAGTACTTTCTATATTGTCCATAACTTCAATCAGGTCTTTCCTATTTTCATAAACTGTATGAACACCTCGTGACTGAAAATTCCAACGTGTTTGGGAAGATCTTGGCAATCTGCGATTAACTATTTCATCCAAAATTTTTGTTCTTTGAGGAGACGTCGAAAAAAAAGAGCACAATCCAGATAAATTATGGAAAAATATTCTAGCCTGCTTATTGACAGAGCATGCGCTTGTCATAATTAGATTTAACTGGTGTGCATAGCAATGAACATAATTTGCAAGTGGATAAGTTTCCTTAATAATCTTTTGAACGCCATTCAATTCACCACTCATAACAGACGCACCATCATAGCTTTGAGCTATTAATTTGTTTGGATTTTGATCTATTAATGGATTTACAACATTTAAAACGCATGCAGCGATTGATTTGGCATCGTGTCCGTCGGGGACGTAAAATCTCCAAAATCTCTCAACTGGTTGTCCTTTACACAAATATCTGAAAATAATAACTAACTGAAATTCACAGGCTACGTCAGTCGTTTCATCGGCAATTACTGCAACAAAAGGAGAATTTGCAATCTCCTTCTTAACTTCTTCATGATAAACATCTAGCATGCACTCAAGAAGCTCGTTTTGAGTTGTTTTTGAGGTACCCTTGAAAAGTTTGGCACTTTGAATATGGACTTTCAATTCGTTGTCTAATTCGGCGCTAAAATTCACCAGCTCCTTAAATATGCCTCTGTTTTCCGAATTTTCCTTTTCATCGTGACCCCTTAAGGCTAACTCAAATGCTCCACAAAACCTTATACAATTAATAATTTTATTCAATACATATCGATTCTTATCCACTTGATTATTATGTTTAATTAGATCATTGCGATAAGCCGAATTGAGTTGAGTCCTTATATTTAATTTACCAAGAATAGAAAAGCTAAAAACATTATTCATATGGACTTTAGATTTTTCGTGGGTCTTCATTTTATCCCATATATGTATAAGATCATCTGTACCTTTTTTTGACCAAGTCTCGTCACCTCCAAATAGAACACATACAAAACAAAATAGTTTATTCGTTTCTTTACAACCACATATCCAGCTGTTTTTATCGTACACATTTTTATTAAATTTGCGACAGCGCGATTTTTGTCCGCTACCACTTTGTTTCTCAATTTTTAAATCGGGTATTGGCCGTCCTAATTCTTTAATTTGCAGTTTTTGATCCAGCGAAAAACCACTAAATGAGTTTTTTAATATCCCGATTTTATTCATTTTCACTAGTTTTAATAAAACAGTAAAAAATATGATCACAAAACAGAGCAGTTCATTAACACTAGACGTACTAAAACAAAAACGTTATTTCTCACTTTTCAGGTAAAAAAAGACCGAAATCAGCACTAGACGTAATCATAACGAAACGACCGACCGAACAAAAACACCGCCGATATCATTTGATAACGAATTACGACTGATGATGTGCCTGGCACAAATTGTACTTGTCTTTCGCTATTCACCTCATATAAAAATGTGTATTGTAGCGTTATCTCTGTCGCTCGTATGCGATGCTGGTAAAATTTCTCTCTTTTTATTTGGGCCGGCCCGACATTGGCACAAGTTGATGACGTCAAGGTCAAGGCATGCTTTATATCTCGTCGCGTGGTTCGGGTGCTTGCGGTGTTGTCACGTTGTCAGTGTTGTCACTTCATATAATTTATACCAAAAAAAAAATGAAAAAGCAAAAAATAAAGTAAAACATTGAAGATTGAAAAAAATATTCTTTTTGAAGAAGACAAGGTAGTGCCATGGCACCGTGGCACTACCTCACGAGCCGCCACTGACGTTATGTATCCACCATATGAGATTAGCTGGACACTGACGTTATTCTGATTAGTCCACGTAAATCTTTTTACAGGCACTTCCTCACCTTTGTCGTTCTTCCAACTTCCAAAGTTGTCTATACTTAAATTCACTGTACTTAGTTTAGCACAGGCCATGACTAGTGTACTTCAACTGTTTTTGTGGGACTGATTGGATTTTTGGAACAAATTTGGTGTTATCAGAGATGTAACCGTGACTTTTAAGGTCAATGTCAGCGGCATTGACAATCAACCATAAAGTTAATCAGTGACAACTTAAGCCACGATATTATGAATAAAAAAAATGGTGTGAGGATCAACGTAGTATGGATGTTGATACGAGGTTTCAAAATAGTGGTTCGGGGTGATTACGTCTCTATGTTCATTCACCATTGCAGCAAGTAATTTTCAAACGGAACGAAACCCTCAAATTGTCAGAAGAAATTTTCCAGTTCGAATTTTTTCATAGTCATATTTGTTGGGCAACATGAATCAAGAGGTTGCTGTACGGTAACACAGTGCAAATGTGCTCAAGCATTTTTTTGAATAACCTTAAAACTGGTTTTTTCCTTCCCGAACGTGTTTTAGACTTTTATTAACTCTTACACTTACAAAGTTTTCCGTTTTCAAGTTATTAGCGATTTAATGTCCGAGAAGCACTAGAAACGGTGATCCTTGTTTCTTGAAAACTCACACTTGGCAACTTTAAAAATAGTAATTTTTAACTGGGTATTTAAGCATCGAAAATGAAAATTTTAGAGAGTTTTAGAAACTAAGTGATTGTAGCTTGAAAACGGTCAAGATTAAAAGTTACCAAACGCGTTTCCTGTTCACAATTGATATCAAAGCAGTCACGTAGACAGGAACCTAAATACCGCGGGTTATTAATCCGATTTTTAAACACCCTAAGGTGAGTAACTAAGGGAAAAACCTCATCCTTTCACAATCTCGCCAGCCTAAGGACAAAGGAGCAAATGTACTGGCCAGTTCTGGATGTACGAAGCTCGACCATGTTAGGAGTCAAGCAGGTCTGTTTGGCAGTACCATGGGAAAGCTGTGCTGCAAATTAAGTTTCGAGAGCTTTATCCACTATTATGTAATCGTTCGAAATTAAGTTTGATTATCAAGATTTGGCTCTATGAGATGGTCCTAAAAGTCATAAAACCAGCAATGTCTTACGCTTGTGTGGCTTGGTGTTTTATTGCCAAAACACGCTTGCGATATCTGCAGGTTCTCCAAAGCAAGATGTAGCGCACTATTACTGACAGACACAGCGGCGCTAAAACCAAGCGAAATCACACAGAAACCCTCTGTTGTGCGAATCAGTGGGGTACACAGCAAGTTCGCAAGCACAAAAGGCCGCGGCTCGCACTGTAATCAGAATTAATTCGTGAACAACCAAAATAGGAGTATATTGACAAAATCTTTACAAGATCAAATATTTGAGACACTATCAAAATCTGTCAAGTGATTTTAACAATGTTTAAACGATCCTGTCCCAAGAGATTCTCTTTTCCCTCTTTGCTCTCTTCTTTCCTTCTCTCCTTTTCTTCCATTTTTTCCTTAAAGCTGTCTGGTTTCTCACACCTGACAGATTTACAGATTGACTCTATGACACAAGAGCTAAGGCCCCACGGACCTCTGACAACCAACGATGACTTGACTGGCAGGCTTAGCGCGGCAGGATCATAAAACAGAGCTCTAAGCGGCAAAGTCCTTTGATATAGCGGTAGAAGAGAATCAGATCGTCGACCGCCCGTGAATGCGAAAGGGTTCCGAGCACCTCAAACATGTGAGCAGTACTCGAGGCTAGGTCCCAGCAGCTGCGTCGATTGACGACATCAAGTCCTCGGCGATCTGGACTCCGAAAAGACGAAACGAATGGCTCTTTAGTAGAATTCGGACATCCATCGAAATCGCACGGGTATTACGAATCTTGAAGTAACATTACGTCCAATTTTTTTTTGACATTATGTAGGTTTTTCTACAAGATGTTAACTTAGCACTAGCTGATGGACGCGTTGTGAACTCTTTTTCTAGTTGTACGAGTTGCCTAAACGTCATGAGGCTTCTGTTATCAATGTTTGGGTCTAATGTGATGTGAAATCTGCTTCAGAGATGGCACTACTGGAGGTCTAAGCTGTAAGTTGTATACTATAGCTAGAAGGAAACGGCAATGCATAGGTGCATAGTAACGATTTGTGAGGTAATATGTGTTGATGATAATTATTCCATTGGATTCTTGTCTCGAATGCACTCAGTTGAGATTCAAAACTAGAAATTAGTTGTGCATCCACTTTTCCTTATTCATTCTGGAAATTACATATGCAAATTTGCTGAATTTAAAAAATGAGAGAGATAAATAATTATATTCACTGTAAACTGTCGAATTACAAGTCAAATACATGCCAACAGTAATTAAACACAACGCGAGCGCGGTGGTGATTTCTCATAATTCTCTACAAAGTTTTTGAAAACACAAAAAATCATAATTTATAACTTTGCACATAACCTGTCGTCAGAAAGGTCAAAATATAAATAACCCGTCGGGCACAGCTTCATATACTTGATAGGCAGCATATTCAGAAATGATTTTCTCACACAGCAAATATCACTGATTTTATACACTTGCAGACCCATACACATAATCATCCAGATGCGATCTTGCTATTCAACTTACTTTCTTCTCAGAGATGAAAACTACAGACTACTCGGCTTCACAAAACTTATGCAACCAACAATCCGTGTAGTTGAGTCATTCCTCCATAGATGGGCGCTCACAATGATCCTAGTGAGCAAACGTGCAATGGCTGTTTGCACCCTAAAAACTACCTAGTCTGCAAGATGACATTTTATAGGTTTTTTTTTGACGTTTTATAGGTTTTTTACATAATATCCGTGCGGCGGATGGGCCCTATGGTGGTTCTTGTTAGTCAAGGTACAGTACTGTGTTTTGGAAGCATTAAATTGTACCAGATTATTACGGAAACCGCTGCAAGTTTTTTTTCTCCAGCTCACTGTAATTTGGAACGCTGAATTCCAATATGACCAATGAAGGGATTTCAGATTGGAGTGGAGCCAAATTTGGGATGAAACATTAGTCGCCTGGAGTAAAATATTGCCGGACAAACATGGATTCAGTCATTATCTATCTCTTTATTTAAAATACACACAGGGAATAATATTGTTTATACAAAAATTACGGCTTTGTTTGGAATTACGTATACACAATAATATTTGCGATTCAAAAAATACAGTTGAATAAGCTTTTATGCAGAGCATTGTGCGTTTCACAGACTATACAAAATAAACAACAGTCTCCATGAATACTGAGGCATAATCAATGCACTGATCTAGTTTACAAAAAACTTGTATTTCACTGTGTGGTGGTAGGTGTCGCCTGGGTACAGCACCGCGGGAGGGAAATTCGCCTGAAAAAAAAATTAATTAATTTAATTTCCTAATATTTGGAATCAAAAAATTATGGACCCTCCTTCAAGGTGTTAGGTTCTAGTGGAACGGGATCTCATAATTCCTTTTTCCGATGTTGAAAAATTATGAGAATACGATATCTTGACGGGCTGTCGTTTCTTGAAGGGCAAATTAATAGTAGAACAGCTAACGAAAACAGAAGAATAGTGTCCTCCATCAGGTGTATAGGGTCAATTGCCAGTAAGTTTGAAAAAGCGCTGTTCACAGTTTTCCCTCTGTTTGTCCAAAGAACGAAAGCTAAGTACATTATAACTTTTCAATGGCGAGTGGACTGTCGCCTACTATATCGCCTGAATCGACGGTATCAAGCGTTGCTCGATTGTTGTCGCGAAATGAGATACCTTTACAGTTCAATTAGACATCTGGTGTACACTTTAATAGTGGTCGATTCTGTTAATAGATGGCATTCGTACTGTCTCATTTTGATAAATTATGCTGCCATGCAGGGTTTAGTGTTGGTCGACAAACATTCCACAATATGTTTTACTCACGTGGTTAACAGCATCAGGCCAGTTCTGTGTCTCAAAACACATGGCCCCATTCTTGTAATAATGACATCCGCCTTTCCCAACCAACGTCTTCAGCTTGCTCCTATCCCCCTGGTATTTATTAGGATCCTCAGGTATGAAATTCGAATTGTAGAACTGAACGCCAGGTTGATTGCTATACACCTCCATTGCTCTGCCTGACGTAGGATGAAACACCCTGGCCACAAAGATTTCCTCAGGCTTTGAAGGTTGGCTGACACAGAAGTTGTGGTCAAAACCATCGTAGCCTGGGATTTTGTCGATGACTTTGCCCAAAGCAGTGGGGATACGTAGGTCGAAGACTGTGTTTGATACGGGTAGGAGTTTACCTGTAAGATGTCATGATAATATAGGTGAGAATTTATACATTTTCTGCTCTAAAATCCCGAAACAGAACATTTTCTTAAACGCTAATGTGACCCCCATCTTATATGAATAGTCGCAGAGTTATTGTGTCTATTTACATTTTTTTAGTCCCTTTACCGTACACGTTTGGATAAAGGTCAACAACGTGGAAAACACTAACACCGGATTTTACTATCAAGGCGCAACATTTCGGACCAATCAGAAAACGTTTTTTAAATAATGGATTTAGTGAATGGTGATGATCTTGATGATGATGAATAGGTGATTTCTTGTAAAATACTTCTCAAACTAAATGCAATGCTAATGTAACAATATCGTGGGGCCTGCTGCGCCTGCGCAGGCTTGTCGTCCAGTCGGCAATATAGGTTTTGAGATCGCCCGGACTTCGTAGTCATGGCACAGTTCAGTAGAGGGCGCGAGAGATATCAGAAACGATATAGCGATAAGCTAAAGTATATTCAGATAAGAGATAGACCGGATATAAACAAGACCACGTGATCATCGAACGCTGTAACATTCGGCAGGGACGTATTAAGAGTCACGCAGTACATATTTTAAAAAAAAGTTAAAGATGAGTTTAAAGCAGTCGGATGGCTAAAATTTTACTTTATGCATATCCACAGGTAATTGATTGTTTCCTTTCTCTGATAAGTGTTGTATTCTAAGTTTTTTTTTCTCTCTCTATAGTTTGTGTCAATGTTTTCCAGGTCGGGTTGAAAAACAGCATAAGCTGACACTCCACCTTTTCGTCACTGTTCCTTTTAAACCAAGTATTTTGTAATCGTGTGACGAATAAAGGCCATTTATTATTATTATTATTATATTTCAGATAGTAGATGCTGCTTTGCGTAACTTTGTAGTAAATTAGCACAATTCGATGTGTATACGATTGGTGATGGATATAGGATCATGTGGGGGTGGGGTAAGAAATATATAATGATGTAAATATACATAAGGGTTTCAAAATTTTCGCTTCGATTTCCAGCTTCGGATGCCGCCTGATGTTTGGTGAAATACAGTCGAATATAATCTCAAAATGGCGTTTAAATTAGCCTAAATTAAAAATAATCGTATATCTCTTAAAATTGCTTTTAGAATATTGATTAGTATATTTTTTGATTTCTAGGTAAATATGTAACCAAATTAAAACGTTCAAAACGTAAAAAAATGTGCATGGTTGAACATTGTCAGAAAGTAGATTCTTGAATAGGTTTTGCCAAAATGGGTTCAAAAATGTCAATAATTAATTAAAAAATACAGTAGCTTTATAATTACTTATAACTTACCGAATTTGATTAACGACATCTTTTATTGGAAAGATGAGCTTGATGAGCTTTCATCATCGCTACTGCCTGAAGCACCAACGTCAATAATGAATGGCTCGACTTGTTCCTCTAAAATATTGTCCAGTTCCCACATTCTCTTTTCAACTTTGTCTTTCACGTGTTTAATACAGTTTTCCCATTTTTGCGCTGTTATTAATTCTAGTGCTTCTTTGAAAAGTCCTTTGAGGTCACAAAATTTAAAAGTTGTATTGTGCTTAGCTATATTATTTTTAACCTCTGCCCATATGAGCTCAATGGGATTGAGCTCGCAATGGTATGGAGGTAAACGGAGCACAGTTTTATTTTGACTTGCTGCCATTTCGTCAATGGCGTATTTTTTATATTCCGCTTTGTGATCCTTGACAATTCTTAATAATTGTACTTTCAGCATTGCTTCTTCAAAGTTGATATTTTTCGAGCGGAGCCAATTTTGAACATCAACTTTCCTTGAAGCCGTTGTTGGGACCTTCTCCATTCTTCGAGAATGATAAGGCGCATTATCCAACACAATTACTGCGTTTTCCTCTAAGTTCGGTAAAATTTTTGAAAACCACTGTTCAAACGATTCGCCATTCATTTCCTCGTGGTAATCTGCAGTTTTCTTAGACTCAAAGCACCACAGACCGTCAACAACAAATCCATCCTCACTGCCAATATGGCAGATAATGAGCCTTTTCCCTTTACCTGGAAATCGAAGTACTAACTGGTGTAGATTTATTTCAATAAGCGAACCTTTTTCAAATGTTTTCATCACATTCAGCGAAAAAACATTGAGACATGAGTATCAGATTGCTATAATTGGGATTATTTAGTCATATTGAAAGAAAGAATATTGAACGTCGTATGATTACTCAGCGCTTCACAATTTAATTTAAAGTTATAAACCTTTAAAAAATGAATGATCAGGAACCTGAAATACGCGCAAATATTAATATTAACAAATTATAACTTTATAAAGCTTAAAGTATGAATTAAAATGATTAGAAATATTAGGAACGGTACACAATATAAAACTTAGTAACTTTTTTTAAGTTTATAATATTCGACATATTTTAAGATTATATTAAAAAATTATTGAAATATCGAAAACACATAAAAACATGGCTTAAAAAAGTTCTAACAAATGAAAATGACAATAAAACATCCACGCATTTTATCGAAAGTTATAAAAGTTTTGTTACTTGTAATATGTTTTATCTGCCCCCTGGAATTAATGTTTAGAACCTTGTTCCCAAGGTTTGAAAAACATCCGATTGTTGTCTATTACTCGTATTTACCTGCTGGATTTTTTAATCCGGTGGACAGTCCATCTAGAAAGGCCCTCCTGGATGAAGTTACAGAATCATCAACCCATACTTTACTTGTAGTGTGTCCTGCGTTCACCCACGTTTCATCAAGGTAATAAATCTTCCTGTTTTGATTTCTATATTTCCCAATTTTTGTTAAATAATCCCTCCTCCATAGCACAATTTCTTCTCCAGTAGTAAACTATTACGACCCCGTTTTTTCCATTTGAAATTTAAATGCTTCAGTAACGCATGGAAAGTTGATCGTTTGAAATTTGGCAACATTGTATCTCCATTTACCTCCTGCAGTACTTTATCTATAGTAGGTATTTCATTCCTAAAGAAGAATTCATGCACTTTCCTCCTAATCGCATGCTTATCAGCTTCATCCAATGATTCAACAATACTTTTGCGATGTTTACTGGTCATTGGCTCAGAAAAGGTGTGATTTTTTTGTATTGTCTTAACACATGAAACACTGATGCGCGACACACCCCAACTTTGTGAGAAACCTTCACAACAATTTCTTTGATGGTTGATGCCTCGTTCTCCTCGCGCTCGATCTTATATATATTCAAAATGACCTCTTTCATTTCTACACTCAGGTGTCTTTTTTTTAGAGCGTTTCCTAGGTGGACTACAGGAGTTTACAACTTCATCGGCAGTATCTGTACTACTGGGCATTTTGCGCAAGCAGTTGATAACAATAACAATCAATAACAAGGTATAACAATAACAACGACAAACTCAACAACTTAATAAGATAACAAACGAAAACGTCCAAAGAAATATCAAATTGCAATGATGCACACGACATACGTAACACGTCTGAACCTGAATGTGACTCTGCCTTGATACGACTGCTCTGCCGCTCGGCATAGGCATTTAATTGCGAATTGACCAATGAGGGCTCCTGTCTTACGTCGAGACGGCGGCGTTAGCATGAAAATCACCCGAACCTTTTGTTTACATCCGGTCTATCTCTTATCTGAATATACTGTAGGTAAATTATCTCTAAACAACTGTTGAGCGTATAAAGATTATTTCGCAGGGTAGTCATGTGAATTGAATATTTACCCGATGGTTGTTACAGCATAAACATTCTGACTTTTGGGTCTTTACAGAATTTATTAAGTAGAATGCAATGACAAAAAATAATGATCTAATTTGACTGGTACAATACAAAAATTTGATGCTCATACAGGTAAGCATCCCAACATTTTACTGGTGCATACGCAACCTAAAAGCAGATGTCGCTGTCAAGATCATTTTTTATTTTGCCCATTATTCCCCACAGAAACAGAAAATATGTCTACAACGGAAGTTAATTAAATAATTGTTGAAATCTTCAAATAATTCAGAACAAATATATTCTTTTTTCAATTTGCTCTGTTATTTAAGATTTTTTATTTTGGTTCTATTATTTACAAGGTAGATACGAAATTTTGAGCCCAGGATCAATAAATAGGTTTTTGTAGCTAAACCAGAAATGCCTTCTTGTTGGTCGAAATTGCGCCCTAGGCCTAGATAATTGTTTTAATCGTAACTATCCCATTTCCACATGGATATAGTAGAGAATTAAAATACCTTGCTTGGGCTATAAGTAAATCGGCAGCAAAGGGTATCAGTTTATTAAGAGTGCACATACGTCTTATTATACCGGTAACTCGCTTCTGCTTCGACTACCAAAGAGAACGAACTACAGGGTTTGTCCGGAAAGTAATAGGACTGAGTTGATTTAAAAAAAATTATTGAGCCAATCGTTACAATTCTCTAAAAACTTTCAAAATAGGCTCTTTCTGCGTCGATGCAGCGCTGCCAGCACGACTTCCAAGCATTGAAGGCGTCACGGAAGTTATTCTCCGGAATAGCCTTGAGAGCCGTGGTGCATGCTGCTTGGATCCCCCCTGTCGTCTCAAAATTCTTGCCTTTCATCGGCCTTTTCAGGGGAGGAAACAAAAAAAAGTCCGGGGGGCCACATCTGGGCTGTAGAGCGGCTGCGGAAGCGTTGGGATGCCGGCCTTGGTCAGGTAGCTGTTCACAAGAAAGGCGGTGTGAGCCGGGGCGTTGTCGTGGTGCAACTTCCAGTCGGCTGCGATGTCTTGTCGGACCCGACTGACCCCTCGTTTGAGTCTCCTGAGCACTTCCACGTAAAACTTGGCATTGACGGTTTGTCCAGGAGGAACAAATTCATGGTGGACGATGCCTTGGATGTCAAAAAAGACAATGAGCATCGTTTTCACTTTGGATTTGCTCATTCTTCCCTTTTTTTTAATAGGCGACGCCGTCGTGTGCCACTCGGAAGGTTGCCTCTTTGTCTCGGGATCATACACAAAGATCCACGACTCGTCACCTATGATTACGTTATTCAAAAATTGGGGGTCACTTTCACACATGTTCAAATTTTCTTGGCACACTTCGACTCGCCGCAATTTCTGGTCGTCAGTGAGCACTTTTGGGACCATCTTCGCGCACACCTTGCGCATGTTCAAATGCTGTGTCACAATGTCATGAACCACAGATTTTGGTAAATTTAACATCTGGGCAATTAAACGAAAACTTAGTCGACGGTCTGAGTTCAAAACTTAGCGCACATGAGTCACATTATCGGTGTTTGTCGAAGTCGAAGGTCTTCCAGCACGGTCTTCATCAGCGACCTCTTCCCGGCACTCCAAAAAGGCCTGGTGCCACTGAAACACACCACTTCTTGCTAAAGCAACACCTGGGTAAGCCTGCTTGATCATATCAAACGGTTCTGTCGCAGATTTACCGAGTTTCACACAGAATTTAATCGCGTACCTCTGCTCTAAGGTACGCTGCATTTTCAGCTTGCACCACTCACAGAAACACGTCGCGCGAAAATGCATGTCCTGACTCTCCAAGCGCTCGGAGACAACTGACCAGCCGCTCATTCGTTAGCTAGGAACGCCCTCTACCGCCTCTACCGATTCCAGTCGGTGCGCGCACGCTCCGAAGTACAGTCATGGCGGATGAAAATGAGTCCTATTACTTTCCGGACAAACCCTGTATTTGAAACAAACAAAAATAAAAATTCAACGTAATTTTCAGGTAGATGCGCTGCTGCTTTGTACTTGGTGGGTTGCGGCAAAATATTAATCAAAAAATGACCTGAAAAATATTTCTATAATTCACGTTCATACCGACCTGTTGGAATAGAATCCTTATCAACCTCTGTGATCTTATCAGCATTGATACAAACTTCATGCTTCGTCAGTTCTTCAATACCCTTATCATGTCCCGCCAAGTTGAAATAAGAATGATTCGTCAAATTCACAACTGTTGGTTTCGTAGATGTAGCCTGGAAGTCTATTAGAAATGCATTGTCTTCTGTCAGTTCGAAGGATACGTTAACCAACAGGTCTCCTGGGTATCCCTCCTCCATGTCTTTGGAGAGATAGCTCATTACCACTTTGTTACCTAATAAGGGACCAAATGGTACAATAATGTATTGTATGGGGTTGTCCAAAACGGACGCAGGAAAGTAAACGCATATTAAAACAAGAAAGATTGATATTCAAATCAAGTTGGGTACTTTATTTTGAAGGTTCATTTATACCATTTATGTATGAAAAATAATATCGCTCAAATGTTCACCACGACTGGATTTACAGACGTCCACGCGATGGTCGAAATTTTCAATGACATTTTGCAACATGGTCGGTTCTATGGCATTTATCTCGGCAATGATGTTGTTTTTGAGTTCTTGTAGGGTAGCTGGTTTGTTGACGTAGACTTTGCTTTTCAAATATCCCCATAAAAAGAAGTCCAAGGGAGTCGAATCGCACGATCTAGGTGGCCATGGCACATTTCCTCTGCGCGAAATCACGCAATCACCGAAGAAGGACTGCAATCGACGGATATTGACGTTGGTTGTGTGGCATGTTGCACCGTTTTGTTGGAAATAAACATCGTCCATATCCATTCCTTCAAGTTGCGGCAAAAAATAGTCCTCTATCATCACGTGATATCGCTCAGAATTGACGGTAACGGCGTCCCCGGCCGCATTTTCGAAAAAGTAAGGTCCGATGATGCCTTTTGACCACAATGCAAACCACACAGTCACTTTTTGAGGATGCATCGGCTGCTCTTGATACTCACGGGGATTTTCGTTCGCCCAGATACGGCAGTTTTGCTTGTTTACCGTCCCATTCAAAGTGAAATGCGCTTCGTCGCTGAACATGATTTTTGATGAAAAATTGGCATCAATTTGGCGGTGTTCAAGGAGCCAATCTGAGAACGTTCGGCGCGAAAAATGGTCGGCCCGACGCAGCTCTTGCGTCAATTGGATCTTGTAGGCGTGTACATTCAAATCCTTGTGGAGAATGCGGAGCTAACTGGTTCTCGAAATGCCTAATTCTTGGGATCGACGCGTTGTTGATTGATTCGGATCGTCTCTCACACTCTCCTTCACAACAGCAATATTTTCCGGTGTGCGAACGCTCCTTGGCCGGCCAGAGCCTGGCAGATTTGCCACAGAACCTGTTGCCTCGACTTTACGCACCAGACGACCGATGGTTGTTTCGTTTGGGCGGTTGTTGCGACCGAAATGTTCACGAAGCGCGCGAAACGTGTTTTTTATTTTTGCACCATTTTTGTAGTGCTCTTGAATAACTTTAATGCGGTCTTCAATCGAATACGACTCCATAGCGATCAATGGTAAACATTCAACTAACAAAATGACATGTCGGTGACAGAAAACAAAGATGGCGTCTATGTCAAATTGACGTTTACTTTACTGCGTCCCTATTGGACAACCCTATAACTAAGTTGAGGAGTAAAACTTTATTGTATGATTTTTGATGTTTGCTTATCCACTAGTTTTTATTTATTAATACTATAAAAGTGAAGCTCGAACTAGCTGGCATAACTCTAGGTACAAAAGAAATTGTCCAAAGAAGTATTGCAGCCAAAAATACTGGTGCTGGATACATGCTTCTCAAACGCTAACTGAGATCTTTGTAGTTCCAGCCGATTGCTTCTAAACTTTCTCGCGGTGGTCGATACTGGTAACAGATTGCGCACTGCGCGATCTTAATTCGACAGATTCCATGTCTTGAATAGAGGATAGTTGCTATGCTTTCGCTCCTTGTCCCAAAGACCATGTTAATGAGTTGCCAAAAAGCACAAAACATCTGTCCATGGTTGACTGACTTTGGTCGGACGCACGAAAGCATCATTTTTAGTTGTTCAATGGCGAGTGGATCACATCTACTATACCACCAGAATCGTTAGCCTCTAGAGGCGCAGTGGTGATAGGGCTATCAAACTATACAGTTCCAACTGATTGCTTCTACGCTGAAACCCAAATACCACAGCAATACGTATATTAGAAATAGATATCCAACGCTTCTTGCGCATCACTCTCGTACATATTGCGACGTCAGCCAAGTTTGAACCTCATCGTATACAACCTAGTGGTCGATTATGGTAATAAATGGTAAATTGCATTGTCTTAATAAGTCTGTAATAGTTGGTATGCTTTCGGTCGATGTCTCAAAGACCAATCCTAGGCCATTCTGATGAGTTGCCAAAAAAACACGAAACAGTTGTCCATGGTTGGCTGTATTTGATCGGATAGACGAAAGCAGCATGTCAAGTTTCAACCATAGATTATTGCATGTATGAAGGTCCACTTCTTATTCAAGGGTGATATGACAGCATATTGACAAAAAGGACTGTTGAAACTAAAACTCTTGATCTTGAACTTCTGTGCATTCTATTCATCGGAGCCATGACAACTATGTTAAAATAGCACATCAGAAAGTCTTCAAGGACATACGTAAAGATTCAACTGCCTGTTCGCTAGAGCATCGCTATAAGCTTTTCTTATGTTGAGATAAGAATGAGATGAGGTTATTAATCACTTATTCTGCAGTTCCCTGGCAGTGCTATTAGTCCAGGAAGTAACTGCGCAACTGCTCGGAAAAATGTTCTGATTCGATTTTTTGTATAAAAAGGGGACCACTTCATGCATGTTTCAAAACGCATCAACGTAAAGCAACAAATAAAAGTATATAGCCTTAGTAATCTGTGTAATATGTACTTTACCACAAATATGATGATTCCAGTTGACCTTATCAAATCCTTTAAAGCCACCATGAAGGGCATGTTGACCTATGTTAGCAGAAACATTGTAGGTGATGTCATCGATAGTTATTTTTGCGTTTCCAACCCTGTTGGCTACCCTGCCTACTGTAGCACCAAAGTAGGGGTTGATTGGGTTCAAATAACCTAGATTGGAATGATAATGCATGGTTATAAGATAAATAAGTGTGCATATACGTTGAGCGTCTTTCAAACGAGACTCGGCGCGATGCGTTTTGAAAATCTCACATACAAAATAATTTTCAGTCATTATATTGTAGTCAGTAATTCTCATAACTACCATCTGCCACGTCCGCTAACAAAACTGGGGTGTTATCAAGTTTTACTTGTGTATGTATGTGTTTTTAAAGGTAATATGCATCCAAATGGTAAAAACTGTTTCGATTTTGTTTAGTTTTTGTTTGGGATCCTACGAGTTTTAATGCCAGCAATTTTGTTCAACCGCTTGAAGACAATAGCGTGTGATTGAGAATGGTTTAATTACGATGAAGCATAAAACTTGTTTGAATAGGGTTGTTCCAAAATGTAAAACATACACGTTTGACCTGTTGTCCGCACAATAATTTTCCAGCAGGGCATCTGGGTCTTTCAAATTTTAAACGTATATTTTTGTTAAATTTGTTATAAAATAAAATAAAAGCTTAGCGCCCATTCACCTAGTAGGTGCAAAAGTTGAATAACCCTCAACAAAAACTGAATACCTTCCATGTTATCAAATCCCAAAACAATGTCATCAATTTGGCCACCGGCACCTGGTAGTTTGATCGAAGTGACTGTGGCACCATAAGTGATGACCTGGACCTCTACATTGCTCCTGCTCCTCCAAGTGAACCTCCTGACTGACGTTTCTCCTATCCATAGTCCAAATTCATCTTCTCGGAGGATTACGGGTGGTCTTGGAGGGCAGATGGCTACGTACGGGTGGCCACATTCCATCATTTTGACTGGTTTTCGAAGATGTAAGCTTCTTGATTGTCGAGTTTCTTAAATGTATGATTTAAACTAGATTGTTGAACGAAAGCCCAAAAGTGTTAGAATGAAAGCAACTTTGGAATCTTTTTCTTGTTTTTTTTCAGCTTTAACAGTTCTTTCATTATTAGGTCTGGTTGTCAGATACCTGATAAAGCCAGGGAGATATGGTAGAAGTAGAAAGACTGAAAGGAAGGGAGAAAGCAGAGAATGAGAAGTTCATCGTTAGGGACGGTGCCTCAGTACTGGTACTAGCGTTAAGGAGTTTTGAGGTTATATAGAAAAATATTTCTGTTGAAAAATTTGAGTTTTGTATCATCATTGCTCATTTTTTCTCATTGTGAGTCGCCGCGTCATGTAAGTTTGATAGGAGACTATGTAGACTGCTGATTCTTGCATCAGATAGTTGCAAGGCGACTCTACAAGAATAAACAGTATGTATGTCATTGACTAAGAAAATAATGGAGAAGTGCATGAGAGCTCTTGAAATATCTCAGGTATCATATACAAAAAATGCTTATGGTGCAAAAGTAACAGTCCTGAATTGAGGATCGTGACTGATATCGTGACATATTTCTTTAAAGTCCATTTCCTAATTGTAAGAGCTATATTCGAAAGAAAAGAATTACCTCATTTCAAGTACCTGCAGTCTTAAATCAATGTCATAATTCCATAGAAACTCGTGCTTTTGAACCAAGAGCTCTTTTTTTGTGGCACAAATTGGAAATAGGTAGTATAGAGCAAACATTAAACATACACCTCAGAAGTGCGAAGCAAGTTTTTTTAGTTGTTTGGAAAGGCTCATATACCTGTTTTGGATATTAAGACGTCTTTCGATGAAGCATCGAATTGCTACCTGGCATTGCAACTGCCCAATAATAAAACGTCTTATTGGGCGGAGTTTAGCATAAGCTATTCTACCACATAATCCGTGAATCTGTGAGATAAGGATGTATCTCTATATCAGATTTAGTGACATATCATTGTACAAGGAATTTTGCAAGAAAATGAAACAGTTAAGCATCTAAATAATTCATTCTGGGGGAGCGTTCTCCTTCTATGGCTAATGTAAGTCCATTGATTCATTTTCAGTAGTTTGGGGTGGCTGAAGTTCCAGCTCTGAGAAACCTTATGGAGGACGTACAAATGACCCAATGGGGTCTAAGTGCCGTGTTTTTGAGTATGCATCAGATGCTTCTGAGAACGCATGCCCTTATGACAATCCAAGAGCGGGGGACAAAGATTTGTTCCTGTCGGCTATTTACTTTGCGAAAGACTGCTCTAGTACATAAAGTACAATGGATCTAATCATTTCCTCGGATTCAAAGCTCAACATACTTTGTTCATATAGTCTTCTTTGTTTGGTCAGTTTTACTCTCAGTTTATGCAGGGAAAACCAAATTTGTCTGTCGGCTTGAGTTCAGTGTATCCGAGAGAGAAGCGCGAGAAGTGGGTATCAACACATTAGAAAGAGATAGAAGCCGGTTGAAAAGCGAAGGTCATTACCACATTGCCTAGCGACGGTGACGCAGAACGTAAGAAGGAACATTTAATTTAATAATTTATTTTCATTTTAATTGGAAATGCCTGTTTACATTTTGATGCGACTTAGTGTTTTAATTTATTATATTATCTTTGACTTCCACCGATGCTGATAAAATCAGCACATCCTGAGTTATTGTTACATTTTGTTACAGCGAGCGGTCAGAAAACTGTAACAAATACAAATTGTCACTGACTGCGTGCACGAAGCAGGCAGACACTCCCCAATGAACGTTAGATCATGGAGGTGGAAACCTTGCCTTCGAATGTACGAGATGCGGTGTTGCCAAGCGAACCAATGATGCAGCGTTGCAAAATTTGTGGCGATTCTGACCTTTCATGGAAAAAAAATGGAGCGCATTATTTGTGTGTAGAGAATAAACTACATTGAACACAAGTCGTCAGACACATTTGGTTCTCAATGTATACGTGAAGTCTTCTTTATCTAGTCAGTTTTACTCTCGGTTTATATGTATGAATGGATCGTCTACTAATGTACCATTTTCTACATCACCTAGTATACATACACTGTTTACTGCTGCCAAATGATCCAAGCGAAATATGTATATTTTCACAGAAACAAGATATTATTGCTCACTTGTACAGTTATAAATAGTTTTGTTGTGAAGACTCTGAGCACACCCCCGACAAGGCACAAACTACAAAATTGAGAGGATAACAAGCACTTTATATGGAAATATTCTTAACCACACTCACCGCGATGTTGTTTGTGTTTGTCTGTGCATCAGTTACGACTGCACTAGTGCAAGCGAACCGAGCACTGGATAGAATTCGATAAATTGCAACCTTGAATTTTATGTGGGAGCAAGTGGGAACATTTTGATGAGTGATGGTCTGTGGTCGCTATAATTTCCTTCGTTGTCTGAATGCAACCTTTTCGTCTACCTCCCCCTCACCAGTGTATGGTGCAGGACGATATACATATGACCAGTCGCACCTTTGTTGATTGATCAAATTTGCGCCACAAATGTACAAACATTTCAAAAGTGACATGTCTGAGAAGGATCAAGAGTGATTTTCAAATTATTGCAGAACATGAAGTTGAAAATGATGACACATACCTACTTTGAATTAGTCTAGAGTTTATTCTTAAGATTATATAACTAATGTTAACGTGTTCCGATAAATTTTAAGCTTGCTGTACTGATGTATGATGTAAATTTAGTTTACATACTATGATATTTCCGTTGGTATTGTTTTATGTTTTTAAGTAAAAGATATTGGTATAAATGTACTATGTACAGGTTTTTTATGTTTTAACCATATATGTTATTATAATGTGCCAGTAATGTGTTCAGTATTATACTGTACTGATGTTTCCGTTAGTTGTTTTTTGTACACAACATTTATACGCTACTGTAAATGAAAATGATTTTTTTTAACATGTAATTGGCATTGGAAGTTATCCATTTGCCACAGATGTGTGTTACTTATATTTCTCTAATTATGGACAAACACACGACGTCACAACATCCATGGCGAAGGCGAGATTCGAACTCGCGGCCCGGCCGGCCGGCTGATCAGTAGCACGACACTCTGACCAACGCGGCCCCGAAATGAAAATGATGTTAATTTTGTTTTCATACGGGCTATATTTTATTCTGTACGCTGTAAAGGATATTAGTCATCGATAACTCTCTATACCCTGGACGAGATATGAGTAGTCAACTGCCAAAGACTTGGCTACAATTTGGCTGCTTTGCCTGTTAAGTTGGTTACAACGTCGCTACTTTTTTCATGTAGGTTGGCTACACTCATAAGAAAATATCTGGCAACTCTGAGGGCGCCTACAGAGCACTGGTCATGCAGGACACATACGGACACCGGCACGCTGGCCGTTGAAGTCAGCAGACACAGGGACCCTTGCCGTAAACATTTTTCTATCGTTTCAAGGGCAAGTGCACGGGGCAGTCTATGACGTGTGAAAAATGTCTAATAGATGCGTAGAGTTATCGAGGTTGAAAGTGTATCCTCTGATACGTCATAAAACGAAGTTCGGGCGATTTTTATTTTTTCCCTTTTAACCTTTTCCTCCGTCGCCACTGGACCGTTTTTCAAAAACTTGCACTTGGCATAGTAGCGACCTTGTGCAAAAATTTTATCAACATGCGAACGGTAATTTTTTTAAAGTTATAGACCCGCCAAGGATCAGCTGAGATGACCGACATGTTTTGTCGTGTTATAAAACATCCAGAAAACTTATCTCATTTTCGAAATTTTCCGCGATTACAATACTTTCTCGTAAGTAGGTGTGGGGAGTAAAAAGTGCTATGTCCAAAGGTCCATACAAAAAAGTGGTGTGTGCTGGTGGTCCCTGCATCTTTTTCATGTATTATTTAGATATCGGAATATTTTTTTTGTATTTTTGGAGGTGCATTTCTCAGAAACCTCTGAAGAGATGCACATCCACCAAGAATGTTAAAATGTGTGATCTTAATGCCTGAATTATTGTCTTATTTGTCCGTCGAACCATTGATTTTGAGGGCCTGTTATTTTTATATTAGTTCATTTTCTTAGATTGTTTTTAAAAATGTTTTTTTTTAATGTATTGCATTCTAAAATTGAAAACTGACACAAATGTCTCAAAAGACTTTTGTCGTTATTTTAGATACGTCTACCTCAACGGTTATCCGTAGACTTTTATGTCCACCGTTGTATGTAAATAATAGCAAGCCGCTATGTGACAGAACAATCTGTCCGTCTACCAATAAGGGCATTTTTCAATGGCGATTCCGCTGAGATAGTGTCACGTATCGGTTGTGCAACGTTACGTCTGCGTCGGTACGTCTAAATTTGTCATTTCAATGGCTTATTGGATCCGTTCAATGGAATACGCCCCAGCTGGATTTTTATGCCTCGATGCGAAATGCTGTTACCGGCGAAACGTTGTACGGTACTGAAATCGTGATCTGGTTTAATGAATTGTTACCAGTTACTGAGATATCGGATTGAACTAGATTTAAACTTGAAATGAGCTGCACTTAAAAGATCTTAGAGTCGCTACTTTCTGGCCCAGGCCAAGCTGGAATTGAAGGGTTTGAGACAATAAGGTATCTAAGTCACAGTAACCTTATTTCGAGAAATCTAAGGTAATTAGTTTTATGTAGGTAAATCCTGAAACCACGTTTCCTGCTTAATTTCCATTGTATATTGAGAAACAAAGATCTGGTAACAACAGAGTCGAAAAATTATAACGCATGTTCATAAAATAGGTCCATTTTTGAAAATACTGGGGTTTGGTGCTCTACTAGTTTTAAATGTCAATATACGGGGAGATCTATGATATGTGAAATATGTCTAATAGGCGTGTAGAATTGTTAGTGTATTGATAAGCCAACATCCAAAAAATTACCACCATACAACCTCGACCTCCCAATATCTTACCTCCAAAAATTTTTTCAATAATGATCAGGACCCTCTAAAACCCTCTAAAACATCAAAGAACTAGTTTTTTTTTATTTTTGGCATTGTTCTCCGTCGCCACATGGGCCGATTATCAAATCAAAAACTGCATAGCTTTTTCGTTCCTGGTATAAAAGTAACGTTGTTGAAACTTTTAAAAGCCGTACCTTCCAAGTTATAGACGAGCCAAGTGGGGAGCGCTTAAATACCTTTTCGAGAAACACTGTGTCATAAAGAGATTGGATGATGAGAAGTACTTTCTAAATCTAAACAGACTTGGAACTTATTCTAAATTCCATAATTTGATTGGGAATGATATCTATTTTCTATTTGCTTGGAAACTTTGAAGAAAGAATCTAGTTTCTGCATATTCTCTGGTTCCCCCATTCACTTTCTATCGTCCATTTTACCCGTGAGCATGTCGGTACTCGAAAACAAAATTAATACGATAGACAGAATTTATACGGCCGTATCGTAAAACTAGTCCACCATATCCGCTTTAAAGGAGGTAACCCGTAGAGTCATATCGCGGCAAGCTATCTCAATAAATAAGTTAAATATGAAGTAAATACTCGCGAATAACGTATATGTTTTCATTAGAGAAGAAAACCGTGAAGGCAGGACTTTGGTGTTGTTCGAATTTATTGCTAAAGAGGTCGTAAATTTGAGGTGTTTTTGAAGTAGGTTCCGAATCAATAAAATATCGTGCGCTGCATGTTAGATGCTCGATTCTTACAAATTTAGACGCGTCAAGGGAGGCTGCAAATACTTTTTGGATGCTTGTATCTGGCAGTATAACTATCAAATTAAAATACTAAGATCTATCCCATCAAAAAGTCTACCTTTAATATGAAAAGGTATCTAAGAATAACATGCCAATCTCGCGGGTTATTCTCGGAGACCCTGTAATGCCCATCAAAAATTCCTTCAATGCCAATAGGCTAGGAAACAGTTGTGGGCCAAATCATAGACTGAATGCATAATCGTTCCTCTAAAAATCCCATAGACACACATACAAATCTTACGATTTGTTTATCATGCAAATCGAACGGCAACGTTTTGTCATCAAGCAAGACATGCTGTTTTTATCTTGCAGACTTAGAAATCTAACATGGACGATAATTTCTCTATGTGTGGAGTGACAATTCTCCGTCGTTCGTTGTACGCTTCTTCACTTATCCATGAGTACTTGAATCAATGTTCAGGTTATAACCTTAACTGATATTATTAAAAACCATTTATTTACCACTTGGCTGTATTTAGTTGTTTCTTTTTGTTTTTGATTATTAATGTGCCCACTGTAGCTGCTCATAAATTTTATCGTCCGTCTTCGATTTTTAAAACTGCAAGACATGTCTTCCGTCTTGTTTGGTGACAAAACGTTGGATACCATAAACGCTACACCTTGACAAGCTCAACAAGCAAATTGCACGATTTACATGACAAGCAAATCGTACAATTTGTATGAGTGTCTATGGGCTTCATAACGTCAGGCGTAAGAAAGAATGCGGCGTTGTTCGATGTAAGGTTCCATAGTCTTGCATGGTCACTACCCCTTTATCATACTTTATTTCGCTGCTTGTCACAGGCCTACAAGACCTGTCAACTAAAAAGCCCATGCTTTACTCGTACTTTTTTAAAATAAAAATTTCTTTTGATAAAAGCTGAACCGATCTAAATCAGAAACATGAAAATTTCAAAGTGCAATATCTCAGCGAAAGAAAAAGGCATTTGGAAGGGCAAGGCTTGTGCTTTAAGATTATGTACGATATGGTAAAATAATCCACCGTGCTACATGTTCTCAAATATATTGCAATATTGATATTTTTGCACCTTTAGGTTAAGGTATTCAGGAAGCTTGTGTGGGCCTGTGTAATTGATAACTCGAGGAAATAAATATGTCTCCTGATATATTACAACTCTTCCATCACTCTTATGTAACAGGACAAATATGACTTTTTTACGATAAGAATGCCTTAAGGAGCTTAATGTTTATTCCGTGTCAGAGGTTAAGAGTTCGAAAACTAATACATACTATACAACTTTGGCATTTAGTCACGTGGATATAAAGTTATACGGTACACTTTTAGCCAACAGTTTCAAGTACCTTGAAAACTTGTCACACTATTCGATTGTTAAAATGGGCATGCTTGCTTTCCATCTGTGTAACCATGACAAACCGCAGACAGTGCTGTTTCGTGCTCATTAGCAACTCAACAGTGCGGTACAGGTCGAATCTTGGAGATGGATATTTAGTAAACGTCGCCAAGTAGGTTGACTCTGCACTTCCCACGCAGCTTCATTATCAGTTCATAAAGGATTATGTTCAGCACAAATTAGCCCTCTGGAAACGTCGCCTCTCCCCGATACTTAAATCGGTCCCAGCAAGGTGGGCGGCACAACGCTGGGAGCAGCAGCCGCGGCCGGTAGGTACGCGATGCGTCGGCCGAGAAGTTTTAAGGGCTACAAACAAACATA